ACATTACATTACATTAAATTTCTCTCTCTTCATTTCAATCATACATTCATCAAATAAAATAATATTACACAAAAATCAAAAAAATTTCAACAACACATTCTCTCATCAATCATTATTCTAAAAATTTTAAACCCCCAAAAATGCAAAATAATGAGGGTCAAACAGGGGCTAAATTTCAGAGCATGTTTGGCTCAGCTTAAAATCCAATTAAAATTGAAAATATAGTTGTTATTGAGTCTCATTCGTCTAATAAAAGTCAACAATAACAGCTAATTTTTCGATTTTAATTCCTACCAAACATGACTTGAATGTGAACAAAGAATGCAATAATTAATACGCCACGTGAACTTGCTAAAAATACGATATTTCACCAACTGAACATCAGATATTACACCATTTGTTGGAGTTTGAATGATCAAATCTCTTTCCTTTATATCTCCCGCGCCAACCCCCTTACATATACAACTCGTATTTGCCTGCAATGTGAATAAATAGAAAAGTAATTATTTAGTTTCTTCATAATGGGCATGGACTAGCTAGGTTCTCTTCTACAATATTTCTTATCCACGGTTCCTTTGATTTTTCAGAAAGGACTCCTTTATCTACAATACTAAATTTTATGTTAATTTCTGATTTTATAAGCAGAGAATTAGTTGAGTTGGACCGATTTAATGGACGAGGACTTGATGGGGATTCATTTGATCATGTCCTAAATTAATCAATAAATTTAGAATAATATAGCATTTGAATAAGGTTTTGCTAGATTTGAGATGTTTTTTTCCAAATTATGAACAGAACCTTGTCCTTACAACAACTCAAAGATTACTGCAAGTTAGTTTTAGCAAAAAACTAAAATTTTGCTTTTAATTTATATTTTGTTCCTGGCAGCCATCAAGAAGAATTTGAAAAAGGAAATATAGTGCTCCTTCACCATGAAGAAGACTCGCGGTTAAAGAAGATGAAAGAGGAAATTTTACCTTGAAAGAGATGAACAAAATATCACATTGAAGCCAGAATGTAACTTTACCACAACAATTTATGTGAACTTTTCATGGAACTTTACCACAACAATTTATGTGTGAAACCAATTTGTCGATATCTATGACGAATTTTAATATATAAATGATAAAAATCATTGAAAAACTCACTAGCCCATCTGTCCTTTAAGTATAATCAAGAAAATGATGCAATCTGAGCTACTTGTTCCACACTGGTCAAATCTTTAGCAGTACATGCTCAAATCTTGATCCCGATATGGATTTTTGCATGGCTAGTGCTCAAGATTTTGCCTATACATTCACCGCAACTGAAGTGTCCTCAGAAATTTCTTGGAATTCATACGTTCAAACGATGTTCTCCACTGCTTTTCGAGCTTCAGAATTAGACATTGCGTGGCTAATGTTTCCTCAGAGGTGCATGTTGGTGAGAATTCAAATGGCTATTGGGAATGGACAGAAGGAACTTTGTATGGAGATTGTGAAGTCGATAAACAAGAAAAGAAATCCCCAGGGACGATAATGGAAAATTTGGCCTTCTATCTATTTCCGTCAAAAGAAAATGAGAGTGACTACCTCAGACAGGAGGCGAGCAAGAATTTCATGAAAGCATTCATGATGTTTTACCGAAGCCTCCCATGTGAGAAGTTCGCTCACTTTACTGCCAACTCGGCAATCTTGCAAGCTATGCCAGACAATGCAAAATTAACACATAATAGACTTCGATGTGGGAGAGGGAATTCAATGGCCTCCTGTGTTAGAGGCCATAAACCAGAGAGCAAAATCACTTTGATTCACATCAATAAAATTTGATGATAAATGCATCTGTTCACAATGGGACTTTTTGAGGGACAAAGAAATGGTAATATGAAACCATACTGAGGATCTAGCAAGTAAAATAACAAGGATGAAGAAAACAGGGCGAGGCAAAGAATGGTAAGTCTTCTACTGAATTATTTGAATTCCAGACGTGGCGTGGAGGAGAGGTCGTGGAACTAGCCAAGGAATTGCTAGCCAACGGTGGAGCCTCAGCAGGAACTGTGACTTTCTGCTGATGGAGAAAACGCAGGACAGTTCAAGAACTTATTTGGGTTTTAGTTCATTCTTCGACAAACACGCAAGGCATTACAAAATCCTATTTTAATAATCTGAACACTTGCATGCTCATCTTGCAGAAGGAAGAACGACCATGGAGACACTGTTTCTAGCACCTTCTATGACACAAGGTTTCAATCTTCCCACGACCACTTTGGAGGGACGGAAACTTGACTGAGAAAGTTTAACTGAAGCCAAGCAGATTGTGAATGAAAGAGGGTTCTTACAAGATCAAGATTGCTGAGGACAAAGAACATGAGATCGTGTATCAATATAAGGGTACCCCATTAGTAAAAGTTTCTACTTGGATTTGAAGCAGACTCACTCTCTCCTAGTGTTGGAAGCCTTCTGCATTCTCAAATTCTTTGTATTTTTCTTTTCTTTCGTATCCATTGATATTGTGCATAAAAGTGGACAGAAATGAAAACCAAGCAGAGAATAGATGATGTGGCTTATTTATTAAAAAATTGGTTCATAACCTCATCACGAAGAATGAGACGTACATAAATTTTCTGACGACTTTGAATGGGATAGAAAATAGAACATATAATCACACACAAAATTGACACAAATATCAACTAATGACGCAAATATCAGATTCACAATATGATCACACACAAAATTTGACCTTCGATCAGTGAATCACTGATCACGGCCTAGGATATTTCCCGGACCTCAGACACTCAATACAGAGAATCATTTTTTTCATCAAGACCATGCTAAGAAGAATCTCTCAGAATTTGTGCTCTCTCACTTGCGAGAGCTTTGTCCTCAAATGAAGCAGTCAATTAATCATGCACTTTTGAAAACAAGGATCTCTATGAACCTGACCGGATGAACTTCACAGAAATATTCATTCAAGGGAAATCCGTAAATTGCATTTTAGACATTACCTTTTACCTGCAAATAGATACCGACCAAGTGAAACTCCGTCCATCCCATGACGGCCCATTTAGCCCAGATGAATTCCAAGCTGCAAACAAAGTTCGATGACAACAAAACAACAATCCCAATATGATGCTTGTATCCTGAAATGGTTGCAGACAAGAATGTTCCAACAAAAAACATTGTATCGCAGCATAGGCACAGATTAGCAAACAAGCTCTAAGATCAAACGTATAACATCATAAATATGGATAAATGACTGAGGGATCCCCATAATCAATCACCAAGGTCCAGAATAACACATTTCCTGAGCCAATATCGTGCCAAATATCACAAGCAGAACTCAAACTATCATCAAAGAAATGACAAATGAAAAATTAGCTCTGTCCCAAGCAACACTTGGGCAGGCCACATTAACATCAAGCTACACAACGTTTTCAAATTTACATGCAAGTACATGTAACAAGTATCAAGTTTTGTAATTGAAATCAACTGAATCCAAGATCAAGGTCTATCATGGAACATGATATTCTTCTAGAACCATGGATTATCTTTTGATTAACCAGCACATAGGCGGACTAAGCTAAATCTATCTGAAGTATATGGAAATTTGAGGAATATCAATATCATTGTCCTCATCATCCTCACAAGCCACTACGATATCAAAATGACGCCGATATGGTGGCAGCTCAGCTTTCGCTACGTCCTTGACCAGATCTACCAACTTCCGATCCATGCGTTCTTTGTGCCTTGGGAACATACTGTTGTAAAGCAAGCAACTTCCATAGGATATGCTATAAGCATTCAAGCCTTTATTTTTGAGCCATCGAAGCAACTCTCTTAGGCTCGGGTTGTCTCTCAGGATCCACCTGTCCCAAATAGTCCAATTCATGTCCTGATGCTTGATGACTTTGGGTGGAACTGGCTCAGCCATTGAGAACAAAGGAAGTGCAAGGTTTGCAAAAGTGTTACGGTAGTCCTCCAGTTTGTGCTGTCCATCTAGAACCTTATACAGCTCGAGGCAAACAAATCCTGTGGCCATTGCCGTGGAAGTTGCAATTGCAGGGATTATTCTCCCTGCAATAAATTTTGCTTTGAGCTTATCAACTTCAGGAATACTATAGTTTCTCGCTCTCATGTTGGCAAAACCGGCTATCAGGTCCATATGATAGTTTGTGTCGTCATCCTGCATATTAGAAGAACTCAACAAAGGGAGCTAATAGTGTCGACAAGTTCAAGGTGCTTATTCAGGAAGCATTTTTTAACAGACTTTCAACAATGTAAGATATTCAAACAGTTCCAATTTTTCCAAAAAGTAAAGACAGGTTGCTGTTTCCTGATGCACAAATGCTATTCACCATCTTTAAATATCCAGCTTTGCATTTTCTCTTCAAAGATTTTAAAAACTCAACAGCCATGGTATTATTGAATCTATGAAGAATAATGTCACCTCATACAACATTGCTAACCAGGTAAGGAAAAAGTTCCGTGGAAGTTGTAAAACATATTCAAGGCCAAAATGCAGAAAAATGCCAGAGGAAGCATGCATGCAAACATAAAACACAGATTACAGCTGGACGGACGCACCTTTTCAAACTGAATGGGGTTCATCTTATAATCTGGTGGCAACCTCTCTCGGCACCTTTCTAACTTCATGACCAATTCATTGATGACGGCAGCATCATCTATGGATGCAGTAGATAAACTAGTTACTTTCTCATCTGTCACAATTTTTGCATCTTTATTTGGCAGGAAATCAGGGATAATCACTTTGTCAACAGCATCGGCCAACTTTTCTGAAGAATTGACCCAATCTGGAATTGGGATGCCGAAGGTCTCTGCTCTTAATATGGACGCTGCCATAATAAACTGAAGATGACTGAAATCATGAATGGAGAACTGAAGCGGGCGCGGAAAACGCTTTGGTGCCGACCAGAATGGTGCCCCGCTGCTAGTAACAGCATCCTCAGGAAATGTAAATGTCAACTGCTTGACCCGGTTTGCATAGTAGTCTTCAAACCTGAATTCACCAAGAGTATTGCTATTAGAACCTTACGAGGGAAAGTGGTGCTCAAAACTGAGAATTGAAAAATAATGAGATGGTTATACTTCAAGCGAGCCCAAGTAATGCAGTCCTGGAATGTTTCGCATCTGTCCCTGTCAAGACACTCAAGAACGCGTTCCAAAGTGTCCCGAGCTTGGGCATCACCAGCTTTGTTCATTGCAGATATATATTCATCTGGACTGCTCAAATACGCATTAACTTCAGCGGGTGTCTTCTCAAGCAGCCCATCAAATTCAGACCTAGCCCATGTTAAGCAATGGTCAATGTTGTGTGGGAATGAATGCACTGTGCACATAGGTGCTTGCTTTTCTGGTGGGTCCCTTGATGCACCATAATTTTCAGTTAGGTGAGGGATTACCATCTGAGTGTTGCACTTGGCACCTAAGGTTCCAGACTCCAGAAGGGGTTTCTGGAAATACAAGCACCTCTGATCAATATAAAGCCTGGCAGTCACATTGTCTAGAGCATTGATGACAACACCCAAATTCTCCCAGAATGTATCATCAAAAACATTTTCAGTTTCAGGGCTTGCACGGTTTTGCAAAGCTTCAACATGAAGATGTGGGTTGATCAAAGTAGCAGCTGAGGCAGCAACTGTTGATTTTGCCTGCCCGATGTTCCAATCGCGGAAAAGGAACTGTCTGCTAAGGTTGCTCTTTTCAATGACATCATCATCCGTAACTGTTAGTTTCCCTCCATCGCCGCAACAAACACCCATCAAAGCTAGATTTTTCAGAAACTCACACCCCAGTGCACCAGATCCCACGATGAAAACTTTTGCATCCTCAAATTTCTTCTGTAACTTAGACCCAAATATAGAGATTTGAGCATCATAGCGTGAATTCAAAGGCTTTAAGTCGTCAGGATCCAACGGTTCGCTGGGAAGTGATTCAACAGAGTCGAAATAGAAAAACTGCAAACCAAATTACTCAACGAATTAACATTCAAGAATCATATCAGGTTATAACTCCAAAAATTAAAAAATAATGAAATTCTAAGTTACAGATAAATTAAATCACCAAATTCAATGTGAATGATAATTCATTCATCCTGTCCAGATTCAACGTATCAATTGCTCATTCAAATATTGTAAAGCGTATAGTAATAAGTGTACTTAAATTTGTATAGTGATAAGCTATGACGCTTGGACTCGGGCATACCCATTTAAGTGTGTGATCTTTTATTTTCTAAAATGTAGAATATGAGGACATGACTAAAAAAATTCAAATTTCGGACACGGGTACGTGAAAATATCTTTCAAACTTCAATTTTTTTACTAACCCAAGATGTCATATTGAATAGGCCAAAATCAATTGTTTACAAAGAAGGAAATGATGATTGAATAAGGGGTTAAGACGAATAAAATAAAATTTTAGAGTTCAATTTTCAATTATGGAAAGGTAATTACTCAATATTGTATAAAATAGAAAATGAAGGACTTAATTGCAATTTGGACTTAATAACCCATTTTCATTTTATACAACCAAAAACCCTAAAGCATCGATACAGATATAGAGGGGAGGAAAAAAAAAAAAGAAGAAAAGGTAAAGAAAAAGGAAAGAAATAGAAGGGAAAACCTAGCGCTGCTGCTGCCTTTCTCCACCCTCTCGGCGACGGCACTAGGTTTACAGAGTCCATGATTGTAGTGTGTCTGGGAGCACTCAAAAGGAAATTTTCTACCGTTAACTATTCAAACTTGGGTCCCACCTTTCTCACAGGTGGTCAAAAATGGCTGCAGCTTCTCATGCTAACGGTACAAAAATGAATTATTTTGGGGTGAAAAATCTGTCCCAGACATGCACTTGATTCCCTTTAAAACAAAACTATTTAATTCCTATATTAATTTTTAATTACATATTTATACAATAAAATATTTTGTACGTAGATTAAAAAAATCATACTTTTTACAACACATTGTTCAAAAAATCATTATTCTATTTTTTTTTAATAATTCATGAGCAAAACTGGCATCGTGTCCGGTTGAAACTTGGAGAATCCGACACATACCCTATACCCATATCCATGTCGTGTCGATACTGGTACTCCAACCATTTCGAATCGAAGAGTCCGAGCATAAGAGGTGTTAAGAGTACTTAAATCATACTAATGCCAGACATTACCTGAAAAAGTGGGTGGAATTTGCCTGAGCAAGCCTTCACAACCTCCTGTCCAACAATACCACCAAACATGGCTGCCATGGGGTTTAAAACAGCCCTGGCACCAAAAGCAAAGTTCCGAAGAAGCTTCTGGTCAATCTCCTCAAGTCTCCCATCAAGCAAGCTATTGTTAATATCGATAACAAGAGATATTAGTTTTTGAGCATCTTCCTCAGATCCAGCAACAGGGTAACGTCCTAAATCAGCTATAAACTTATCCAGTGCTTGAAATGCCAAATGCAGGAGAGATGGACGGTCAAATTTGGAGAAGTCACTCAGGAGAAAATCCCCAGGATCCTTCAGTGCTTGTTTTAGAGTCTCGAAGTTGAGGACTTTAGGTTCCTTTACTTGTGTGACTATACCACCTCTCTCATACGCAGTATAATTTGTGGTGTCCTCCTCAATGGTGAATGAGTAAGGCCTGGCATTTTTAATTTTTCTGGGTTTTCCATCATTCAATTCAGTCATTCCTCGCACTTCGGAAAACACAACTAGATCTCCATCCTGAAACTCAAGCCTCTCGTCATCAACACACGCCACAAGAGCAGGATTGTCATTACTAATAGATGCAATAATTCCTGTTCGCGGATCCTCACCATCGACATCAAAAACTGTGAACTCAGGACCAAAGTTGCAAAACACACTACCGAAAAGGCCACGAACTTCAGATTTGATAAACGCAATTGGAGGCTGATGCCTGTGGCAATAATCATCATATTCTATCGCCTTGTCTAAGTTGATATCAGTGAATACAACAGCCTGGAGACCAAATACAAAATGATGAGAATATCCTACAATTTTGTAGAGCAGGGTCAGATATTTTGCAGGTCTTAACCCAGGTATGATCTTAGTCCAGAAAAAAAAAAATATATATATAGTCAACAAAGAGCCATGGNTAGTCACTGAACTTTTGAAATTGCAACCCCTAAGATCACTGAACTTTAAAAATCACTACATTCGTCACTGTACTTTGCAAAAGATTTCTACGGGGTCACTAAACTTTGCAAAAACCATTTGGGAAACTTTTTGCAAAGTTCAGTGACGAATGAGGTGATTTTTAAAGTTCAGTGATGGATGAAGTTGCTGTTTCGAAAGTTCAGTGACTAATCACGTACTTTTTAAAGTTCAGTGACCTGGTGGAAACTTTCTGTAAAGTTCAGTGACTACTAGGGTAATTAACTCCCCAAAACACAAAACGACTTCAACAACAGAATAATTGATCAAAAAATCATCAGCATGTAAGACATTAATTTTATTCAACAACTAAAAGGATCCAAGCATAGAAATACTTGATTTATCAAGCAATAAAATATATCAAGTAATATTTTATGCCAAAATAACCTAGAACACCGATATAGAACTTCGGATTTTGCATAAAAAAGTTAAAGTTGACTAATTCCACCTTATGGCAAAATGTTACCTGGAAATTAGAAAGCTTCTCCTTAGTTAACTCATCTGTTAAAGTAGAAATGACTACGGCATTGTTAAGTTCCTGCAATTTCTGGACAGAAGCAAGAGCCCTGTTCTTTCCCAAATCTTCTTCAGAGAAGATAAAACTGCCGGATAAATCCCACAGTTCCACGTTACCCTCGTCATGTAAGGTCACAGATTTAACCCCAGCAAGAATTAGGTTCTTTGCTGAAACAAAAATATCTTACTTTTACACTATCTCTTCCCGTAATCATCAGAACCATCACATGAAATCATATTAATGGATATTCAGATGAATTAATTGCAACCGTGCCAATGATAATTATACAGCATAACCAAGTGAAAACAAGTCCAACTCAGCATTAACCAAAAACTAAAGAAAGGTCACCAGTACTCGCGCTGTACTTTCACAAGTTCAAGAAAAATCAAATTGTAATATATCATCATGGCATCACCAATCTGTCTAGTGTTTAATATATCTAATATAATAATCCTAATCATATATCAAACGTCAGCATCAGGCAAAATGTAAAATATCCCTCAACGAATGCAGTACGTCACATTTTCTCTTCTTCCTTTCATCTATCCAAATTGCACAATAAACTACAAATTTTGGAAAACATCCAAATCGTTGATTTGAGTTTAATTAATACACTTCCATAAATTAGTACAAACATAAATGCAATGAAAAAAGAAACATATAAAAAGGCCATGTATACTTTGACAGGAAATATGGTGGAGTGGACCATTGTGCAAATAGCTGGTATGAAATTAGTATTGGTAATGCTATGAAAATGCTTCATTCAGTATAGCACACAAACAAATTGTTCATTTATTTTGGAAAAAGTTATGTTGATCAAAAATAAAATATTTTCTTCTCACAGTAAAGCAAGCAGCAGCGTGAAAAAGTTATGTTGATCTAAACAAATTCAATTGCCAATTTCATCCAATCGGTTTCCACCCAAAACAAAAAATTGAAATGGCTACCTTAATCACCACAACAGAGCACCCTATACTTCAAATCAAAATAGGCAACACTAAAATTATTAAAAAGTACAACAAACTAACACACATAAGCACACAAGAATATAAAAACGTGCTTACCGACTTCAGCACCAAGGCCTTGCAAGCCAGATACGAGGATATTGGAAGCAAACAATCGACGCATAGTCTCGCGGCCGTACACAGCGAGCTGACGGCTGTGCAGATCCTCGTCGATGTCTCCGATCGGCGCCTTACCATTCCGTCCACCGACGCCGTTACTGACGCCGTTACTCCCATCGGCATTTCCTCCTCCCATGTTGACAACCGATACCCCGGCCGTTCCTCCGGTGGCTGACGCGGCAGTGGATACGAAACTCCGGTGCTTCTTAGACAAGGAAAAGGACTCTGAATCTACTTCTAACGCCGCTCCTGCAGTAGGTCTCTTCGCAGGAAGCATAAAGTCTACAGAACTGTTGGAATTCACCATTTCAAGAATCAAAAACTCAAAATTAATTACTTAATCAAAATAAAATTAAAGTAAGAAATGAAAAAGCGAAGTAGAAATTGAAGAGTTTGCTAGATGAGTAAATGTAATGGAAAGGACAGAGGGGAAGCTATACCAAAAGGGCAAGGGCGTGGATTGATGATTAGGGTTTGAGATTGGACGGGTTTGATGTGGGTTAATCAGGTGGGTTGGGTTGGCAGAATGTGAGGGAGGAGATTGGTTTGGAGGGAGGTTGGGTATGTATCAGGTTTGGAATGCGACAATGCGTAGAGGCTAAGCCAGGTTTGGCGGTGGAGCTTATTAATATTATTATAAAAAGGAAAATGAGAAAAAAATACGTCGACAGCAGGATTCGAACCTGCGCAGGCAAAGCCCAACAGATTTCGAGTCTGTCTCCTTAACCACTCGGACATATCGACGCTGTTTTAAATTTTAACCGAGTGTTTTCTATAATTATTCATCATGGTTCACTGAAAATTGTCAACATAATGACATTTTAACCCTTGTTTCATAGGGATTAAAATCAGATTTTAGAACTTTTGAGAAATGCTGATAAAATATGTTTTTGAAAAGTTGTCAATCTTATATAATGGATGTTTGGTGGGGATTAAAATTAAAATTTTAGTAGACCGTGATACAAATTTTTAAAATATATGGTTGAAAAGTTGTAGGACCCATGACAGATGTCGTTAATATTAATTGTTTGATTTTGACTTATATTAAAATCTGATTTTAATCCGAAACAAATAGGGCCATAATATGTTATTAAAATTAATGATTGATTTTGAATAAATTAAAATATGAATTTTTATTCATACCAAACATTAGCTTAATTTTTTACAATTGAGCGATGTCTATATACAAGATTCAAAAGGTTTGCATTTAAATAAACATAACACATTAGTCTCTATTTTATTAATACTTATAAACATTCAAATCACTTTTATTTATACATTTTGTGAGATTCGCGAAGACTGTTCACACATTCACCCTTCATTTTTATTTATTTATTAAAAAAGGTTTATAAATACTTTCCAAACATGCCTTTAAATGTGAAAAACGTTCACACTTCTATGTATGTATGTGTTGGGTTTTTTAATACCCAATAAATTCGGACGATAATGTTAAACCGATTTTGTTGATTATACTTCATTGGCCTCGACCGATGAGTGAAGTGAAATATCGACACCACAATAGTTCGAAACAAACCCGCAACCTAATTGGACCATTTGAAGTAGCCTAATTTAATTAGGGTTGCTCGTGGCCTGACCCAAAGACCTTGGATGGCTTTACGTTTGTTAGCCCACTTATACCATTTCCTATTGGACCCTATTGTTTGACCAAAAGCCCAAGTAAATCCCAACCTATTTAACCCCTTGCCCAACACTTAGCCGAATGTGTGTGAAATTGTTGGTAGTCGTAAGAACGAGAGAAAGGTCTTGTTTTGTGCTAGACCATACCTTGTTTTCTCCTTCTTGTCTAGCCTTTGTGGCTGAACCTTTGAGGCTACATCATCTTCTACACCGTGCCCTTTGTGGGCAAAATGAAGCAACCGGCTGTGGGAGATTAGAGTTTGGGATTGGTTGTCTATTGTGGTGTTCGATTTGATTGACTGAGCCCGATTTCTTCGAGATTGAAGCCCCAATATTTAATAGTATGTATGTAAAAGAAAGGGATTGGATTGACAAGAGAATAGTAAAAGATCTCATAAAGTTATTTTGTCAAGATTAAGTTCTCTTTTCAACAAAAACACATATAATTCAACCGTAAGTGTTCTCGTTCACGTATTTTTATGATTTTGACACCCAACATTCAATGGAGTGGAGTTGTCCTCTTTTCCTATTTCATGATTTGAAAATCAATGTTGTGATGTTCACTTTTATGCTCTTTAACATGCGATACAATGAACAACGAAAGAAGCTTTTTCCTACAGGTGGATATCTAGCGACGAATTTTGCTTGTAGGTATTCAATACAAATATCCTAAGTAATAGACGAAGAACATGAATATACGCTTCAATATTAACAATAATTTGAAAGCCAAGCTTGGAGCTTTCTCAACCTTTTTTCAACATGTTCTAGTACTTCATTTTCTTCGGAGTCAAGGTTTAAAAATAAGCTCACGAAAGAAGAGTCACTTGTAAATCATGAAGGAAAAGTACAAAACTAACTCATACGCTTTCCTAAACTAGCAAAGGCATTCTATTGATATCCAAGTTTTAATAAGGTAAGAGCTCTCTATAATCAAGACCACAAAATCAAACATCATTTAATATGATTGTTCACAGAATGACTGCTCTAAAAAGTTGAATAAAAATAGACCCAAAATGTACAGTATTATCTTTCTCTATATCTAATTTTAATGTGTACTCCAAATATGCTAAATGATTAATATAATTTCTTCTAAAAAGAAAATATTTGAATTTATTAATTTCTTTTTTCTAAAATTTAAACTTATGTATTTGCTAACGCATAGGACGTCAAGCAATTTGGGCTACATGGCATGGCAATGATACCTGACATGATAAAAGATTATGATAGAGTGGAATGGACATTCTTATTCTAGATGATGGGACATACATGTTTTCGTGGCCAATAGATCAAACTTGTACGTAAATGCATTTTCACCTCGTCCTTGTCATTTATTGTCAATTGGACTCTATGTGCCACTTTAAATCAACTCAAGGACTAAGACAGGGTTGTCCCGTATTACAATATCTTTTTCTTATTTGTGTAGAGGGCTTATCTAGATTTATCCAAATGCAAAAGGAATAGCTTAACAAAAGAATAAACCGGTTATGTTATTTGAGTTATAGGCCTCGGGTCTCCATTTTTTCACTAATGACGTCATGGTATTTTGTTGAATCACCCATGATGAGTACCAAAAAGTTAAAAAGGTCTTAAAGATTTATGAATTTGCATTACAGTGATGCTATTTAGTATCACTGGTGTTACAACCCGAATTTAGGTGGCACTAAATATCATTAAATGAAAGGTACAATTAGATTAATCATTTTATTTCATCTTTAATTGAACATATCACATAATACCAAATAGATTAGTGTTCTAACAACATAAGTGCTAGATAACATTATTCTTTGTGTTATGATATAAAGTTAATATGCTAAAATCAGCCATGACCTTTAGAACAAATACAATAGAGATTTTGGGGAAAGCGATGCTGGATTTCTATTGAGGGTAAGGACTGTAAGTGTTATGCCCTAGGTCCAATCAACTTTGGACATAAACACTATGAATATATATATATATAATCAATGCATATGTATGGCAATATCTATTATTTAATTGAATTAATATTCTAATAAATTAAATAATAGAATCCGTAGATTCAAGTTTTGGTGATTTGTTAATCACAAGGAGTTGTGATTGTGAGATACAAATTACTTCTAGCATTATCCTTTTCTTATTTGTGTAGAGGGCTTATCTAGATTTATCCAAATGCAAAAGGAATAGCTTAACAAAAGAATAAACCGGTTATGTTGTTTGAGTTATAGGCTTCGGGTCTCCATTTTTTCACTAATGACATCATGGTATTTTGTTGGATCATCCATAATGAATACCAAAAAGTTAAAAAGGTCTTAAAGATTTATGAATTTGCATTACAGTGATGCTATTTAGTATCACTGGTGTTACAACCCGAATTTAGGTGGCGCTAAATATCATTAAATGAAAGGTACAATTAGATTAATATTTTATTTCATCTTTAATTGAACATATCACATAATACCAAATAGACTAGTGTTCTAACAACATTAGTGCTAGATAACATTATTCTTTGTGTTATGATATAAAGTTAATATGCAAAAATCAGCCATGACCTTTAGAACAAATACAATAGAGATTTTGGGGAAAGCGATGCTGGATTTCTATCGAGGGTAAGGACTACATCTCATTCAGAATCATAGCAAATATTTAGGGTTACCCCCTGTGATTGAGCAAAGTAAATATAGGGTCTTCGATGGAGTGAAATGATGGAAGCAACAACTTTAGAGGAGAAATTTTTTCTATTGAGGATAAGGACGTGCTTATCAAATCACTGGTACAGGCTATCTTGAATTAAACTATGAATGTCTTCTAAATAACAATAGGTGCAATGAAAAATGCTTCGCGTCCTCATTTTGGTGGGTTCAAAAAATGGGAAGAATAAATTGCATTGACTCTAATGTGGCTCTATGTGCATATATAAAGTTTGATGGGTTCGAGTTTCGAAACTTAGGTCATTTCAGCTAAGTCATTGTGGCTAAACAATATAGCACATTGTTATGAATTCATATTCTCTTTATCCCATATTTTGAAACATAAATATTATTCTCTTTATCATTTATGTATGTGAAATTGTTGGAAGATATACATACAAACATATATACAGTGGAATAATTCTTCTCCCTGAAAGCAAATAAGCAAAGCATACTTTCTACAATTATATATGTTGAAAACAATATAAAGATAATCAATCATACCAAACCACAAAAACACAAACAATTTTTACATGGAAAACTTTCCCAATGTGAGGAATAAAAATTATGAGAACTATTCTAGTCAAAACCTCAATATTATCCAAATAATGGGTACTATTCTAATCACAACTAAGGTTACAATGTATACTTCATCAAGATAATGAAAATCTCATCTATACAACTCCAAATAAGCAAAATATAGCAACACACCCACAGTTACTGTTAACATTTACTAACCGTTATTCTCGAGCTCAAAATTTGATATCAATTGTTGTAGCTCCATTTATTGTGAAGATTTCCTCCAAATTTCAACTTATCGAACCATAGACGACTTGAGATCAAAATTTTGATGAAACTTGGGAAAAAAGAATATTGTCCATTTTCTACAAGAATATAGGAGGATTTTAACCATAATGATGACTTTAACCATATAGTTTATGTGAATTGGAGGTAGAAATTATCGTCCATGCGCTTGTTCCGAACGAGCATGTTGTGTCTACATTGT